GTCTTACCTGGAAATGAGGTTCGTGGAGGGGGGCAGTTAAAGGGCCAGGTCCTTGCCTAGGAGCAGAGCCAGAGGGAGGATGGGAGGCGAAAGGACACAGCTCTCAGCCACAAGCCAGGATTTTGTCCCAGGCTCTGAACCTTACTTGTAGAACGCCTCCAGCAGTCACTTCCTCTTTCTGGGACTCAGTTTCTCCATTTTGGATGGGAGTGGCATAACCAGACACTCTCCCAAATCCTCTTCTAAGAATGTGTGATGGGAGGCTGGTGCTGTTGGTGTAGCAGACAAAGCTGCTAGCTAAAGCCCCGGCACCTAATATGGGCACTGGTTCCAGTTCCAACCCAATGCTGTGCACCTGGGATACGGCAGATGATCCAAGTGCCTGGGCCCCTGAACCCACACGGGAGACGCAGATAAAGCTCCTGGATCCTGGTTTCAGCCTGGTCATTGCGGCCATTTGGAGAGTTAATCAATGGATGGAAGCTCGCACTCTCCCTCTCTCTCTCTCTGGCTCTGGCTTTCCCTCTTCATAACTCTGCCTTTTATTGGAAAGGCAGATATATAGAGAGGAGGAGAGACAGGGAGGAAGATCTTCCGTCCGATGGTTCACTTCCCAAGTGGCCACAGTGTCCGGAGCTAAGCCAATCTGAAGTCAGGCGCTTTTTCCAGGTCCCCCACATGGGTATAGGGTCCCAAGGCTTTGGGCCATCCTCGACTGCTTTCCCAGGCCACAAGCAGGGAGCTGGATGGGAAATGGAACAGCCAGGATTGGAACTGGTATCCATATGGGATCCTGGCACGTGCAAGGTGAGGAGTTTAGCCACTAATGTGTAACTAAATCTGTCCTCTGCATCTGTGATATGTACATATTTATGCATATGTATATTTTTCTAAATCTATGCATAGTTGTTTTCATAATATGCATTTCCATGAACTTTTTGAAAACTCTTCATTTGCATGGATTTTGAAATTTTTTGCACCAAAATAATTTCTTTTGTATCACAACACAGTGAAAGTGGAGAAGTCCATTTTATTTTTTAGCTTATCTTCTGTCCTCCACACTGCCAGCATGGTGGCCAGCCTCATCCCTGAGCCAGTGTGTGGAACAAGGGACCGGTGCTGCTGTCTCAGCCCCGTCAGTCCCCTGTGCTCTACTGCTGCCTAAGGAGCTGCCTCATCTCCCAGGCAGAAGGCTGGGGTTCTGACTCTGTTACTCTAAGTTGAGGCATGGCCAGAGTTGCTTCCCAGGGCCCTGTAGTTCTGAAGAGGACACACGGCTGACTCTGTGGACCCTACATGGGTCAAATTTTGAGGGATAACCCAGAGAAGCAACTCCCAGTTATATTTGTGACATTTTTCAATTTGCAAGGGTTTCCCCAGTCATTTCTAATCACAAGTAATAAGAACCACTGCTTTGTGAAAGACTTGCTACCAGGCCTTGGGGATGACTGTGATCTCCAGCACTACCACATTCATTACAGCATTGAAGGAAAGAGACCCAGAGAAGTTAGGCAGCTTGGCCAAGGTCACCGAGCCAGGAAGTGGCAGGACTTGGACTCAAGCCCATGCCCCTTTGAGTCTTGGATCAGTCAGAGTGTTTGCAGGGGAGCATGTGGTTTCCTGTGAGCATCATGGCAAAGCAGCGAGTTGAGCAGAGCAGACACCCAAGTGCCCCTTTACAGGTGGAGGAAACAAAGCCCAGAGAGATTGTGTGACCCATGGAACAGTGACCAGCCCCCCCAGGCCTAGTGTGCTTGCCACATCCTCTGATTACCTGTGAGTCCAGCGGTGAATGACTGAACGTGGATTTGGTCCTAGGTCTGTCTCACTCTCCAGAGCTTCCCTGACAGGAAGACGGCCTGGTGCTGGGGGACTCTGGAGAAGGTCCAGTTTGCACAGGACAGGAGGGTAGTCTTTACAATGAGCATGAAGTCCCTGTGTCCTTATCCTCACGGTGGCTCTGCCTAGGAGGCAAGCATTTGACCCGCCTCGTCTCATCCTAGGGCTCGGAGACAGTGCCTCTCACTGGCCTCCTGTCCCATAACTACTCAATTCCTTTAGGAACCTAGAAACCCAAGAATGTACAGGCAGCAGCTGCCTATGCTCAGCACATCTTCCTGTTCTCCTGATGCCTGAAGCCATGCCCTCCTCCTAGGGCCAGCCAGAGGGGGCAGGCAGCATGATGTGGTGGGAAAGTGGCAGCCTTTGAATTCTGGCAGCTTGGGGTCTGAGTCTTGAGCAAGTTCTTTAGCCAGTCTGACAACTACTTTTTCATCTATAGGATGTAGCAGCTGCAATATCCACCTAGCAAACATTTACTTGAGGATTTAAAACTATATTGAAAAAGTTGGGCCATTAGTAAATGGTCACTGTTGGCCCAGCGTGATGCTTCAATGGCTGAACCCTCACCTTGCAAGTACCAGGATCCCATATGGACGCCAGTTCATATCCCGACTGCTCCACTTCACATCTAGTTCCCTGCTTGTGGCCTAGAAAAGCAGTTGAGGACGCCCCAAGGCCTTGGAACCCTGCATCCATGTTGAAGACCTGGAAGAAGCTCCTGGCACCTGGTTTCAGATCAGCTTAGCTCTGACCATTTGGGGAGTGAACCAGCAGATGGAAGATCTCTCTCTCTCCCCTTCTCTCCATAAATCTGATCTGACTTGCCTTTCCAATAAAAATAAATATATATTTAAATTAAAAAAAAAAGAACAAGAAGGAAATAAAGAAATGGTCACTATTGCTGCTCCTGTTACTGTTCCTGTGGTTCTGGCTGTGACTTAGCAAGACACTTTCCTGGCAAGTGGGGTGGGGACGTTCTGATGCCCGTGTCACATGAAGGGACCACACCTGAGTTGCAAACACCCTGCTAGGATGCTCAGGTGAAGGCCATGCACACCTCACTTATGGGATGCATGCTTTGCTTGGGAAAGGCCCTGAGGAAATCTAGCAACACATGAACACCTTGCTTTTAAGAATTTACAGAAATGTATAGGAGGATATACATGTTCGTGGATGTTCGTGACAGCATTATTGATGCATTTACAAGGCTGGCATCCCAAACTGGAGCACTGGTTTAAGCCTCACCTGCTCTGCTTCCAATCTGGCTCCCTGCTAACTCCCAAGTGCTTGGGCTCCTGCACACACATGTGCAAGATCTGGCTAGAGTCCCTGGCTTGTGGCTTCAGCTGATGTTTTGGTCATTTCATGAGTGAAACAGCAAGTGGAAGACCTGTTCTTTCCCTCTCTCTGTCATTCTGCCTGTCAAAAATATTAAACAAGCTCGTTGTGTAACACTAGAGGGCTGGCTAAAGCATGGTATCATCCTATTAAAAATGACGTGGGAGCACGTGCTTAGCCAAGCAGTGAGGCTGTCTACATTCCACATCCAAGTGCAGCTCTGTCGCTAACACCAGCTTCCTGCCATTGCAGACTCTGGGAAGTAGGTATGTTGGCTCAAATAACTGAGTTCTTGAAACTCATGTGGGAGATCTATTCTGTGTTCCTGACTTCCAGTTCAGGCCTTGGCTCAGCCCAGTCATTGTAGATATTTGGGCGGGGGAGATGAAGCAGCAAGATAGGAGCTTCCTCTGTGTGAATGTCTCTCTCTGTTAATTATAACAATAAAAAAATAATACTTGTAGGACAAGATGAGAATAATTCAAGAAAGATGTTTTTAAAAAGTTACAGTGATGTTGTGGCATAGCAGATTAAGAATGACACAAGCGGGGCCCAGCAGCGTGGGCTAGCAGCTAAAGTCCTCGCCTTGAACGCGCCAGGATCCCAAATGGACGCCGGTTCTAATCCCAGCTGCTCCACTTCCCATCCAACTCCCTGCTTGTGGCTGGGAAAGCAGTTGAGGATGGCCCAAAGCCTTGGGACCCTGCACCTGTGTGGGAGACCCAGAAGTTCCTGGCTCCTGGCTTTGGATCAACGCAGCACATGCTGTTGCGATCACTTGGGGAGTGAACCATCAGACAGAAGATCTTCCTCTTTGTCTCTCTTCCTCTCTGTATGTATCTGACTTTGCAATCAAAATAAAATAAATCTTAAAAAAGAATGACACAAGCATCCCACATGGACACTGGTGTCCTGGCTGTTCTGTTTCTGATCCAGCTCTCTGCTGATGTACATGGCCAAGCAGTAGAAGTTGGTCTAAGAACTTGGGCTCTTCATCCACGTGGGAGACCCAGAAGCTCCTGGCTTTGGCCTGGCCCAACACTGACCATGTCGAAAGATGAAAGGTATTCTCTCTCTCTCTCTGTTACTCTTTTGAATGAATAAATGAATCTTGAAAAGTCATAAAAGCAAACTTGACAAATACAGACTAAGCACAAATTTAGTGTAAAAGTTATGGTATTAATCGATGATTTCTGATCACCAGTGGGTGTGCTTGTGAAAAACTTGTAAAAACTGCTTGTGCAAATTTTTGTATGTTCTTTCCTTAGGCCATTTTTATTTTAGATTCCCAGAAATTGCAAAGAAAGTACCGGGTTCCCATGTGCTCCCCCGCAAACAGTCTGCCCTAGGTGACATCTAACACGGAGACACCCTCATGGCCATAGCACTTCTGACCAAACTGAGACTTCTTTGAGTTGGACTAGTCTTCCTTTAACAACCTCTTCTTACAGAATCCAGTGCAAAGTACCACATCCCTGGCGTTGCCCTGCTTCCCACCCCTGGGCTTCTCTAGGCTAGTTTTGCTCTGAATTCCTTTGTTTTTCATGTACGCTGGAGGAATGTTGTAATCTGAAAAGGGAGGGTGGCAATGGTGGTGGTGGTAATTTATGTCAGGATCTGAATTAAACAGGTGGAAAGGCGGGGTGGCAGTGGGATCCCCAGAGGATGGAGCACTTCAGGGAGCTTGGGGTGGGCGGGCCGGGGGCTGGACCAGGCCGCGCTCCGACGACCGGGCGGGCGGGCGCAGCCCCGCGGTCCCCTCGCCAGTTGGGCGAGCGCGCGGGCGCCGCGGGCTCAGTGTTCGCAGCTCCCAGCGGCCGCCCCGCCTCTTTCCCGGGTTGTATTAAGCCGGTCCGAAGCAGCCGCCGGCCCTCCCGGCGTCCCAGCACCATGGCCTGGAACACCAATCTACGCAGGCGACTGCCACTCTTCTGCCTGCTCTTCGAGGTGGCCATGGTGGTTCTGTTTGCCCTGTACGTGCGCTTCAACCCCGACTCAGACCCAGACTGGAAGTATGAGAAGAGGAAAGCGAACATCACCAGCGATATAGAGAACGAATTCTACTACAGTTATCCAAGTAAGTGCCGCCCCAGCAAGCCCGCCATCTGGCTGGGCCTTGACCATGGCCCCTGGCTGCACCACCGCTCCCACACGGAGCCCGCTGCACCGGAAACAGCTGATGTACAATCCTTTGTAGGGAACACTCCCCCACCTTGCGAAGGTGTGTACTCGCGGTTCCAGTAGCCATCAGAAGTGTTTCCCAGCTGTGAGCCCCAAGTCCCACCTCCACCACCACTCAGCAGGTGCCCATTCTCTCTAGAGAAGGGGTCACTGGAAAGTGACAGAGATGCCCCAATGGATGGCCAAAGTTGCTGCGGTGGGAGCCTAGGGAACAGTTTTTGGGACAGAGGGCTGAACACCCTCCCGTGGCTAGAATGACAAGGCTGTCACCCTCTGAATCTCCTGGGTGCCGTGCCTAAGAGCTGAGCTGGGGGCCTAGCTCTCACTCGCTGATGCCCTAGGGTTCATGGTGCTAAAGGAACTGGCCACTCCCAGCAGCCCAACCTCTGGCCTGCAGGTTAGTATTTTCCATGACCTGAACCTTTGGAATTTGGCACCCTACCTGCCGGCTCCCACCCTCACAGTATTACCAGAAGCAATCTTCTGCTTAGATGGCAGCCGGGCTTGACACAAGACTGGGGGCAAGGTTTCAGGCTCAGAGCAAGCAGCCGTGTTACCTGGTTGCCCCCACAGCAAGGGCTGTCACAGGCTGCATTCATGGCTGGCTGGGGCCTGGGTGAAGGCAGGTGATGGAAGCAGGGATCCCACAGTCTGTCCTGGGCTCCACTTAGGGCCGTGCCAAAGAAGAGTTCCTGACAGCCGTGGTCTTGGGATTCAGACTCACAATCCACCCTTGGTGTTTTGTTCCCTTCCTGTCCTTGGTGGAAATGACTAGGAAAAGGGCAAGGCAGCTGCACTGGAGATCTTCCCTCTCATGTTGCTCTCCAGTCCGCTGGCTCTTACTCACCTCTTGGTTCTAGGAAAGCTTGAAAGTCAAGGCCTGCTGGGGCATAGGCAGGTCCCCCAGGTGTCCAGAGGGTGATGGCTGGACGGCCCTAGGACAGGAGTGGCAGAACATCTGCCTCCATCTCAACCGCCTTTCTTGCTCTCCTTGCATTTATTCACTCGACAGGAACTTAGGTCTCAGATGGCCACGTTGTATGTCTTCTGAATGAAGGCATTTGCAGAGCGAAAGGTGATGTGGTGGTGGCTTGCCTTGCAAGTCAAGGATAAGCCATGGCTTGGGGGGGTTATAATCACTCTGGACCAACAAGTTGAGTGTCCTGAAAATCTGGCCCCAGGGGACTTCTAGGCCTGTTGGGGAAATAAAGGTGCACCCCGACACCCAGGACCCCAGCAGGGCCAATGCTCCTGCAGACAACGTCTGTGATGAGTGCCTGGCAAGTGGAGGAGGGGGCAGAGAGGGCAGATCAAGGCCTTCCTCAAGGAGCTGTAGGATGATCAGCCTGGGACAAGGTTTTGAGACTTCACCGGTGGGGCTTGTGAAAGGGGATGGGGAGCCCCAGCTGTCAAGGAGGACTTTGGGTGTCTCCAGTTACTTCCCCTGCGAATGCTGGAGGGAGAGAGGAGAGGAGGGGAGGTAGGAGGAGTGGAGAGAAGGGAAGAAAGGAAAGGGAGAGAAGTGAGGAGAGAAGGGGAGGTGAGAGGAGGAGAGAAAATGGAAGGGGAGAGGAGAGGCGAAAAGTGGAGGGAAGGGAGGATAGGAGAGGAGAGAGCAGAGAGAGAAGAGGGGAGAAGAGAAAAAGGGAGAGGAGGGGAGGCGAGGAGAAGGGAGGGGAGTGGAAGGAGGGGAGTTCTTGGCTCTGTGTGACCATGTTCCTACCCAGTGGATCAGGGGAGCTGCCGATTAAATGTAGCCTCCAAATGAGCCCAGTTCCAGGAGGCTTGGGTGGAGGGACGGAGTTGAGCCTCAGCAAGGCAGCAGACACATAGCTCACAGAGACCCACCTGGCAGTGTCCTGGGACACCTGTGGTGCAGGCACTGTCTGGCCGCTGAACAGGAAGTGCCCAGGCCTGAGTGACCTAAGGCAGCAGGCACAGAGCCCCCAAGGACCCACTTGGTGAAGGATGTGCCTGTGCCTAGGCAGAGGGCATTGTCATCGGAGGGAACTGAGGACATCTAGATCCATTGTCGCGTGGACTCAGCCAACCACCTCACCCCTCTTGGCCTCAATGTGCTTCTCTGTTAAGTGGGAATATCACTAAAGTAGACGGCAGGTAGCTGGGCTCACTTACCTTGTGACAGAAATTGGCGACACAGCGAATGCCGGTGGGAGCTCCTACAGAGACTCTAGCTTCAAAGGTGTCCATAGAGGCTCTGCCTTCTGTTTAGAGATGTGTTCAGGACCGTCTCCCTGAGCCCTTGTGTGCCCGGCTGTGGCATCTCAGCCCTCCATGTCTTCCCAAAAGAGCTGCTCTGGAACCTGGGCTTTTGTCCTTGCTATTTTCTGGCATAGGAGACAGGTGGAGGAGGAGCCTGCCATGGCCAGGCAGGGTGCCAGGCCCTCCCACCACTCCATCCACCTGCCTCTCCCAGCCCTCTGAGGCACTGTTGCCCTTTGATCTTCTCCCCAGCAGATTGGAGATGGGGCCTAGAGTCTCAGAGTTGAGGGATAGCCAGTATCCCACCAGTTCCCCGCTGATGCAGCAGAGGGAAGTGGACACCTGGCATTGCCGAGGACCCAGGCCTGTGCCCGGCATGGTTTGGGTCCGCATTAGGCAAGTGCCACAGGCCTCCAGGGTGGGCACAGTCGGCCACTACCTCAGCCCACCTTGCCTGTGAGGAGGCTGGGGAGTGGAGGGGAGAAGTTTGGACTCATGAGTAAAGTTTGCAGCATCTGCATCTTCATATCATTGTATAAGTCATATCAGGTAGCAGCAAACCTCATGAAGCAGAAATTAATCCACAGACTAATGCTTAGCTTTGGTGCTAGGTTAGCACCTGTGTGGGAAAAGAAAGAGAAAGGGATTCTCCCTCTGCACAGGCTCCCTCAGGCCTCGGCAGCTCTGCCCCTTGCCCTGTAACCGCCAAGCTGCAAGTAACCCTTTTAGGCAACTGGGTAACCCTCCGCCCCTTGAAAAGTCCCACCCTCTGTGATGCACTGCAAGCCCAGCCCCTGCAAAATGATTTTGAAATGAATGTGACAGGAAGTCCGAGGAGAGCAGAACCCCCAGAAAATGCTCCACAATGGGGAAGTTGGGATGACATCGGGTGGCACTTCCGCAATCCCCGGAGTAATGTGTCAGTTGGGAAGCTAGGCTTTTCCTCTTGTATCCCTCATATACAGGAAGAAGAAGAAAATGTGTAAACAAGGGTCTCACCCACTATCCCCTGATCCTCGACCCTTCCCACTCTGATCAACTATGTAAACATCATCAATAATAAAAATAAATACATAATAAATCTTAAAATTTAAAAAACTCCAAGGAGAGGCTGGTGCTAGGCCAGGCCTCCACCTGCAGTGCTGGCATCCCATTTGTCCACTGGTTTAAACTCTGCCACTTCTGATCCAGCTCCCTGCTGTTGGCCTCCCACCTGCCTGCCTGCCAGCGCTTTTCCTCAATTGTCTGTAGGCTTCCAGGCTTGGACCCTTCTTGGTTGTTGCCTCTCCCTCTCTTCATTCTCCATGCTCCAACTCCCAGCTCCAAGCAATTGCAAATGAGATCCTAGGTCCAACCCCCAGGCTAGGCAACTGGTGCCTCGTGCCCGACCGCTGTGGCGGGCCCAGAGGCAGAGGGGCCAGGATGAGATCCAGCCAGCAGCCTCCTCTCTCTCTGTGCACTGGTTTGGTCAGTGGCCCAGCCATATCCCTCCCTCCCTGCTGCTGCTTGCCTTGCCGTCAGAAATTGTTGCTGCCCCCCTCCTTCTGTAACCAGAGTTCACATCCCTTGGCTCAGTTCTCCCCAACAGTGGAAAGTGCAATGAACCACCAGACTTGCTCATTCCTGAATCGGCTGCATGCATTGAGACACCCGAGCCAAGATGTGTGTGTCTGTCTAAGCACCATGCAGAAGGGATACTTCATGGGGAGCTCGGAGAACCATGCTGGGGCATGACCTGCATCCTGCAGGCACTGGGGCCCCCACGGCTCCTCTCATGAAGAACTCATCAGGGGAACCTGGAGGGGAGATGGATGAGGACAAGTGGGGCAGCAAGGTCAAGGTGGCAGTAACATAGACCTCCATTTCCTACTTCTGCCAGCCTGCAGTAGGCACAGCACTGCCAGTAGGAGGGACTGGGTGGAGGGGAGCTGATGCACACCCACCTGGTTGTGAAATCCCACCTGGGGCTTTGGACACTATGCAACTGGCATTGGACACTATGCAACTGGCACCCCTGAGTGCTGCTGAGACAACATGAATTCATTTGTTCATGGATATTTATCTCTTTTTTTTTTTTTTTTTTTTAAAGATTTATTTTTATTATTTTTTCATTGGAAAGGCGGATATACAGAGAGGAGAGACAGAGAGGAAGATCTTCCGTCCGATGATTCACTCCCCAAGTGAGCGCAACGGGCCGATACTATGCCGATCCGAAGCCAGGAGCCTCTTCCGGGTCTCCCACGTGGGTGCAGGTTCCCAAAGCTTTGGGCCGTCCTCGACTGCTTTCCCAGGCCACAGGCAGGGAGCTGGAAGGGAAGCGGGGCTGCCGGGATTAGAACCGGCGCCCATATGGGATCCCGGGCGTGCTAGGCGAGGACTTAGCCACTTGCGCCACCGCGCCGGGCCCGATATTTATCTCTTTTTAAAGATTTATTTATTTTTGTTTGCAATGCAGATTTTACAGTGAGAAAGAGACAGAGAGAGGTCTTCCATCTGGTAGTTCACTCCCCAAATAGCCGCAATGGCCTGAGCTAAGCTGATCCAAAGCCAGGATGCTGGCTACGTCTCCACAACGGCCCCTCAGGGATATTTCTTGAGAGTTTGCCTTGGCCCCTCACAGGAAAACCACAGTGAATGTCACAGATATGATTCTGTCTTCTTGACAGTCTAGTGGGCTAGAAAAATAAACCTATAATTTTATTTTACTTTTTTTTAAAAGTGAACACAGAGTTGGCGTAAGTTAGGCCCAGAATGCCAGCCAGTTGTTGGGCGGCTTTTCTCCCAGTAGTAGAACACTTGCCTAGGTACAAGGCGACCTTGGCAATTGACTCCACCTGGGGTATAACTTTGTAAATTGTAACAAGGCTGGCATAGACAAGAGGCTTCCTGACACCGTGCAATCAGAACCCTCTCCACTGAGGTGGCATGTGGTGGCCGGGCTCTATAGGAAGTGGAGTCTGTTGGCTGTTCTAGGTGAGGGAATGCCACAGGCCAAGAACCTGGAGTGGGAGTGAGGAAGATGAGGGAGGCTGGTGCAGCTGGGGGGCAGAACTGGGAGGAGGAGGAGTGTGGGTGGAGGGGGACCAGGCTTGGCAAGGCCTTCAAATTCTCTTTTATTAGAAAATAATTGAAGGGGCCTGAGATGATGGTTCAATGGCTAAATCCTTACCTTGCACATACTGCGATTCCATATGGGCACCAGTTCATGTCCCAGCTGTTCCACCTTCCATACAGTGACCTGCTTGTGGCCTGAGAAAGCAGTAGAAAATGGCACAAAGCTTTGGGACCCTGCACCTGCATGAGAGACTCAAAAGAAGCTCCTGGCTCCTGACTTTGGATTGACTTAGCTCTGGTCATTGCAGTCCTTTGGGGCCAGCATATGGAAGGCTTTTCTCTCTCTCTCTCTTTTCTATAAACCTGATCTGCCTTTCCAATAAAAATAAAATAAATCTCTTTTAAAAAGACTTGCAAATGTATGGTTGCTAAAAAAGCAATAGTATGAAGAAGTACTTTAAAAAATCATGGAGAATGGAATTAAAAGATAAATCCATTTTGATGCAAAAATAATGTTTAAAGATATATTTTATTTTTACTTCAAAGGCAGTCACATAGAGGAGAGAGTGCAAGCGAGAGAGGCATCTTCCATCCATTGGTTCACTTCCCAAATGGCCACAATGGCTGGAGCTGGGCAATTCAAAACCAGAAACCAGGAGCTTCTTCTGGATCTACCACATGTGTGCAGGGGCCCAAGTTCTTGAGCCATCATCCACTGCTTTCTCAGGTCATAAACAGGGAGCTGGATGGGAAGTGAAGCGTCCAGGACACAAACTAGCACCTATATGCAACTCTGATGCCACAAGTAGAGGCTTAGCCTACTGCAATATGATACCGGCCCCACAGAAATAATTTTTGAAGAACATTTATTTGTTTGAAGGTAGAGTAAGAGAGGAGGAAATGCAGTGGCCTAATCTGTGGAAACCACTGGTTCACTCCCAAATAGCTGTGAGAACTGGATCTAAGCCAGGTAGATGCCAGGAGACAGGAGCTCCATCCAGGTTTCCCACAAGGATGGCAAGGGTCCAAACACTTCCCAAGCTCATTAGCATGGAACTGGACCAGAAGTGGAGTCATGGAACTCAAACTGATGCTCCAATACAGTGACTGCTCATGTTCCAGCCTCTGCAAACAAAACAAAAACAAACAAGTAAAAACCCTTGAAATCCATGAATGTGACAGGCGTTTGAATGTCCATGGAAGGGCCAGCATGTTGGTGTAGCAAATTAAGCATCTGCTTGTGGTGCTAGCATCCCATATGGGCACTGATTTGAATGCTTGGTTGCTCCACTTCTGATGAAGTTGCCTGTTAACGAGCCTGGGAAAGCAGCAGAGGAAAGTCCAAGTGTTTACTGTGGCCACTGTCACTCATGTAGGAGACTCGGATGAAGCTCCTAGCTCTCAGCTTCACACCAGCCCAGCTGTGCCCATTGTGACGATTTGGGGAGTGAACCAACAAATGGAAGATCTCTCTCTCTCTACCCTTCAAATAAAAATAAATACATCTTTTTTTTTCTGTTAAATAAAGCTCATGGAAAACATTCTGTGCTAATACTGCTTAGATTTAAAAATTGTTTATGCCAAAATGACATTCATTTTTCACGAATGTTCCAAGTCCTGCATGTAGGCACACAGAAATACATACACTCCCCGCCTCTGCATTGGAAGTAAAGCAACCAAGACATGAATGCTGCCCACCTCCCCCGCCCCAACAGGCAGAGGCTTAACCTACTACTCCACAGTGCTGGCCCCTGCCTGATGTTTTCTGACGAAGGGATTGGAATATGCAGTCCTGGTGGGAATACACTGTGGGTAACACTAGGTGATCCACTCATTATAGTGTCACACGCAGAGGCACACAGCACCTCTCTGTCCCTTCTTTGCCAAATTAGTTTTGACCACCCAGTCAAAATGTTTCCTCCCTCGCTCGCTGCTAAGGAGTGGTCTCCAGGGAGATGCCTCTGCCAGGGCACAACAGCCAAGGGCACCTCTGCCAGGAAGCCACCAGCTCACCAGCTATGGCACTTGGTGAACGATGGAGCGCCCCACCTCCTACCTGAAGCAACAGGCCTCTTTCCCCTCGGTATCCCTGGCCTACTTATTAGCAGGGTGGCCTTTCAAATAAATATCTGTACTTCATGGTCTGGATTCACCGTAGGATACTTCAAAAATGGAATTTAAATGTACTTTCATTTTGGTGCAAAGCAATTTTTGAAATCCATGCCTAACCAAGAGGTCTTCAAAATGCCAAGGAAAAGTGTGTATTATTGACATTTCAAAATTTGTTTGGCACCAAATGGAATGTATTACCTATTCTCCATAAACTTGGCAAAGCACTGCCATGGTATGTTGTTGTCTTGGTGCTGGAAGTGCACCAGACCCGGCCAGGGAGAGCTGTGCCACATAGCCCATGCCCTGCAGCATCCGCAGTTCTTTCAGCATCTGACATGTCTGCAACCACTCTCTTTGCCTCTCACGGCTCTTGGCCTCCTGCTGTTTCCTTGGACGCTGGGGCCATGCCGTGTTAGCCCAGGGAGGACAGTGACAGTCGCTCCCATCCATCCCCAGGTCACTGGGCCCTGAGAGGGCGAGCAGCGTGCCAAGGCTGCACCTGCATTGGCAGAGGTAGGCTGCCTAATGACACCTGCGCATCTGGGTCATCTGTCCTGGGGTCCACAGCTAAGTGCTTTACGTGTACATTGTGTGTCCATTTGCCCTGCAGATGACAGACAGTGCTGAGACCAAGTACTTTCCCAGAGTCCTCTCCCAGGAGAGGGAGATGGGATCCAAGTCTGTGATGGGGCAGTGTGCCTGCTGGGTGTGGACTGGCTGTCCACAGCAAAAGATGGAGTGTGGTGGTGGGTAGTGGGTAAGGCATCATGGTCCCAGAAGTCTTGGCCCTATCCTCTAACCCATGGGTGTAACCCATGCTCTGGCTCCAAGTTCAAATGTTTAGCCAACCAGGCTAAACCCTAGGACAGCAGAATGTTCCAAGGAGAAAATCGAGCAGAGGAACCACTCTCTTGGCTGGAAGAATTATAGCCCTCTCAGGTCTCTGGACCCCTCTGGAGGTGTGTGTGTGTGTGTGTGTGTGTGTGTGTGTGTGTGTGTGTGTGTGTGTGTGTGGCCTTGGTGGTCTGTCTCCATGCTGTCCAGTGTCAGGTCTTGGCCAGACCATGAGGGGCCCAGACCCTGAGCCACGGCAGTCCTTCGCCAGACCACTGAACTGTGTGGCTGCGCTTTCCCTGCAGGCTTCCAGGACGTGCACGTGATGGTGTTCTTGGGTTTCGGCTTCCTCATGACCTTCCTGCACCGCTATGGCTACTCCGCCGTTGGCTTCAACTTCCTGCTGGCAGCCATGGGCATCCAGTGGGCGCTGCTCATGCAAGGCTGGTTCCAGCATACCAGGGACAACTACATCCTCCTGGGCATCAAGAAGTGAGCCCAGGACCAAGGCGGGGCTGGCGGTGGGGGGCCGGTGGTACCCCTTTATCTGACTCCTGCATGCTCTGTTTTCTGGTCAGCAGCTCCCCAGCATGGGTCTTGTAAGGACTAGGTGCCATGACAGAGGCCACAGGGACATGGGCCGGACTTTTCTCCAGGTGCTAGATCCAGCCCTCCACCCAGATACCTCAAAATTGCCAATCCCCGGACCCTGAGAGCCAAAAGCTGGTGGCAGTGGGTAGAAGCAGGGAGGTCTGGGTTGGCCTCCAAGGGCTCTTTTGAGAAGTGGACACTGAATGGAGATTGCAGCCCAGCTTAGCCTAGGACACCAGCCTTGGAGAGAGTTATGAAGCAGCTAGGGGTTGAGGGGAGGGCAGGAGGGTTGGGAGACCCCTGTCTGACCCAGCCCCTAGGGCTCTTGTCTTCCTGACTTCACTCCTTTAATGACTTTGCTCTGTGCTAACTTCTGTCCTGAGGTCTATCACCTGCTTCAACACCACCCTCTACCAGATATAAAACAGATTCACCTAAAGCCAAGTCACCAACGCCAGCAGGTGCGGGAGCCAGCTTCCTGAATGACTCGTTGTCTAACTCCTCCATGACAACTTGAGAGATCTCACACTTCCTTGTGTCTGCCCAGCTGTACTTTGTTGGGCCCAGCTGGTTGGTCTTTTTTTTCCCTACAGACACACAACTTTTGTTAAAAGATAAAAACTTTCAATTGGAGGGAATCGTCATGAGTGCATGAAAGCAAACACTCATTAGCCTTCTCACAAGCTCAGTTCCACCAAAAGGCTTAGAAGTACACTGGTGTAACACCACATTTTAAGGGCAAATCCTTGCTGTCAGGTTTAGGTCACCAACCAGATGCCACAGGTCAGGTGCCTGTGACATTTAAAACATCCCCAATGTTTGCAAATCCTAATCCACTCATGCCAGTTCATTCTTTCATCCAATAATTAAATGAAACAGAAAGGACAGCTGGCCAGGTGGAATATGTGTTAGAACAAATACTTCAGATGTTTTTACTTTCTTTCTTTCTGTTAAGATTTATTTGTTTTTACTTGAAAGGCAGACTTACAAAGAGAAGGAGAAACAGAAGGAGAGATTTTTCTATCACCTGGTTCATTCCCCAAATGACCACAACAGCCAGCGCCAAGGCTAATTGGAAGCCAGGAGCCAGAACCTTCTTCCAGGTCTCCCACATGGGTGCATGGACTTGGGCCATCCTCCACTGCTTTCCCAAGCCATAAGCAGAGAGCTGGACGGGAAGTGGAACAGCCAGAACTGGAGCCCGTGCCCATAAGGGATGCTGGTACCACAGGCCACTGCACCAGCTCCCTAACCTTTTTTGCATATAAAAGCCTTTATATTTATATATTACCCTAAAATGCAAAATACACAAAAAAACTCTCCTTCCCAAAGCTAAAGTATGGAAATCCAGCAGGTATTTAAGCAGCCACCACAGTAAAATAGCTATAACTAAATGAAAAAATAAGTTATGAAATGAAAATTAAAACATTTTCCAAGGTAATTATGTCCATTTTTTTGTTAGGCTGACCACTTGATAAATTGGGTTTGGCAAGTTAGTGAGGGGGAATCAATTGTCTCCAGGCTGTCATCCTCTCCTACTTTAAAAAAAAAAAAACATTATTTATTTGAAAGGCAGAACAACAGAGGGAGAATGAGGGAGAGAAAGAGGAAGAGATCTTCCATCTGTTGGTTTATTTCTCAAATGCTTGAAACAGCCAGTTTGGGCCACATGGAGGCCAGGAGCTAGGAATTCCATTCTGGTCTTCTACCTAGTGGCAGAGGCCCGGTCACTCGGTCCATCTTCTGCTACCTTCACAGGTCCAGTAACAGAAAGCTGAACTGGCAATGGAGCAGCCACGACTCCAACTGGCACTGCAAAGAGGAACGCTGGTGCCACCACCCACAGCATAACCCACAGTGCCACCATGCAGGCCCCTCATCCTGTCTTCCATCCTGTAGGACTGCCACTTGAGGGCAGTGCCCTTCTGCAGGTGCTGTCCAGGCTCCCTGAAGCCCTGCCTGTGTGTGGCACCAAGCGCTTCCTCTCCCAGGTGCTAATAGCCCAAGGCGTGGCTCCTCTTTCCTGCTGCTTTCATATGGTCATTCTCATCTTGCAGGTCTTCTGGCTGCAGTGGGACTTTGGGCAGGTAACTCAGTCCCTCCAAGTCTCCATTTCCAGCTACATGTGGCTAATGCTGGAACCTGTCCTATATAGGCAGGGTATTGTACAAGAGAACATTGTAGGGACTGGCATTAGCTGCTGCCTACAATGTTGTCATCCCATACGGGCACATGTTCGAGTCCCAGGTGCTCCACTTCTGATTCAACTCCCTGCTAGAACCTCACTTCTTTCACCTCTACAGTGGGAATGATGGGCAGGTATGACCCTTAAAGTATCAGCCCAGGGCTCCTGCAGAGAGGGCTTCCCCTGCAAATGTAGAGGAGGAGCAACCTAAGAAATGGGTGGGGTCTCTGAGTGCACCTGGGAAAGCAGCAGAAGATTGCCCAAGTACTTGGGTCCCTGCACCTGTGTGGGAGACCTAGAAGAAGTTCCTGGCTCCTGGCTTCATCCTGGTCTAGCCCTCGCTGTAGTGGCCATGTGGGAAGTGAACCAGCAGAAGAAAAATTTTTATCTCTCTTTTTCTATCTCTGTAAGTCTGCCTTTCAAAAAAAATTTTTTTTAAATAGAATTTCCCCTCCAAATTATAGTACTGAGATCTCCCAGTACCTGGCTTCAGTGCACCCTTGTCCCCCAGCTCAGTTAGACCCTGAGGAACAAGCTAGGAGTGGGTGTTCTCTGTCCCAGGGTCTCCACCCTCACTTGACAAACTAGTCCTGTGATCACTCTTTTTTCTCCCACCTATGACTCTCATACACACACTGCAGCATGGGAGGGCTCCTCTAGATGTGGCAACCCTGGGAATTAGCTCCTCTGCTCCTGTACCCACCTGCTTCACAGCTCCCTGGAGGCACACCCAGGGTCTCCATCGGAATCCAGCCAACTGCTTCTGACCCGAAGCGCTCACCTGGCCATCTGCCTGTGTCAGCCTACGGCTAGGCTGGCTGGCCCTGTGGGATCTGACCCTCCCGGGGCCTATGTGCCTGCCCTCGTGCCTTCATTTTGTCAGTGAACCTTCCTGACTCTTCCCTCCACCCAGCCCTCCCCAGCTCCCTATTTACTCTCTCTTCCCCGGATATAGGTCTTCCCCAGGTAGATGAGGCTGTAGCTCCTAGCAAGGTCTGTCATCAGGAGGAGGGGCGTGCACAGAGCGAGCGCTAAAATCTGGAGGCAGCAACCACATCTGACTGAGGGAATGAGGGAAGACTTCCTCAAGCAGCCAGCGGAGAGAGAAAGCTCCAGAAGGGCAGGTGGAAGACACAGAGTAGGTGGAAGTCTAACTACAGGGCATGTTTGACAGCTGCAGCCAGGCGGAACATGGAGCACAAGCTCCCTACGAGGCTGGGGTGGGGAGTGCAAAGATAGATGTGGCCTCTGGTGTGGCCTCTGGATAAGGCCGTGGATCAGACAGCCACAGGCCGGAATGCATGGAGCGCTTAGAGCGTCCCCCTTTCACCATTGCCCTGGCCTGTGTCTCGTAGCCTCATCGATGCCGACTTAAGCGTGGCCTCTGTGTGTGTGGCCTTCGGGGCAGTTCTGGGCAAGGTGAGCCCTCTCCAGATGCTCCTCATGACCTTCTTCCAAGTGACTCTCTTCTCAACAAACCAGTACATCCTCTTACACCAGCTAGAGGTGAGCTGGGCGCAGCACTGGGATGGGGTTGAGGGGACGGAGAGGGGTGGGGGGAACACCAGGGGAGTGGAATAGGATGGGGAGACACAGAGGACTCCAGTGCCTCACTTCTCTCACCTCTACAGTGGAAATGATGGCACCTAGTGGGCAGGTTTGACCATCTCCCAGGGTATCAGCCCAGGGCTCTTGCAGAGTGAGCTTCCCCTCCAAATATAGAGGAGGAGGTGCCTAAGAAATGGGTGGGGTCCCTGAAAGACAAAGGCCACACTTCACAGGCTCCTTGGAGATTTCTTTAAGAATATCTATTTAATTTGAAAGGCAAAGTTACAACAAGAGAGGTGTGAGGAAAGATCTTCCACTTGTTGGTTTACCACTCAAACGACTATAATAGCCAATGGTAGACCAGGTCAAAGCCAGGGAGCCTTGACCGCCATCCTGTTCTCCCATGTGCGCAAAGGGGCCATACTCCACTGCTTTCTCAGTTGCTTCAGCAGGGTGTTGAATCAGAAATGGAGCAGCTGGGACTCAAACCAGAGCCCCTGTAGGATGTAGTGTAACAGGGAGTGCCACATCCTTGGCGCCTACTGTGGTGAGGCTTAAGGGGCCCTTATTTATTAAAGAGCCAGTGAATGGACCATGCTGTGGCATACGCACAACATCCCTAGACTGCTCGCCCAGAGGAGGACTCAGCATAGGGAGGGTGCCAGTCAGTCAGGAAGGGTCCCAGGTGTGTGGCCCAGACAGTCAGATAAACCTGGTAGCACCACTTGCAAGGACCTGGCAGAAATGTGCTATGCCTGGGGCTCAGGTCAGGTGCACCTTACACATCTGACTGTAGCTCAGCCATCTGGAATGGGGCTGGGATTCAGGTACCTCCCACTCACTTCTAAGTCCCCTTTTCTACTTGTGGACTCTGCCATGGCTCAGAAGGAGATTAAGGCGAGCTCTGAACAAGCTAGTAGTGGGTATCCTATGTACCCTAAATCCACTGAGTGTCATGGCCTCAGCCCCCCTGTCTCCCTGTCTGCCTACCTGCCCAACCTCCCTAATGAGGACCTGTCAGTGGGCTTTAGTTTCACTTGAAATTCTAATTCATACATGTCACCACTCCCTGCCTGCCTCCCAGGCCATGGCCCCAGCCTTCTTCCCCCAGTGGGGCACCTGCTCCTCAGACACACAAACATGGGCCCACCCCGGAGCGTTTCTGCTCCTGGGCCCTCGTCACTACAGACAATCAGCCCACGTCACTTCTTATGGTGGCCCACCAGGCTCTCTGTGGCACCACTGCCACCCTGGCCCACCCACCATTGTTCATGTGGCTTAGATTTAGCTACTTCACAACACATTTTTGTGGCCAGCAAGAGCAGGGCCAACCCTCCCAGTGCCAAATGGGCGCCCACAGAGACCTGTCAGGAACTGTGGAGTCTGTCTGCCTTGGCTCCTGGGTTCAGAGGCCCCAAGGAGCTCGTGAACTACTGAGAGGTATGGGAAGTAAACAGGAACCCTGTGCTGTGGCCCAGATGAGGGAGGAGCTAGCCTGAGGCAGAGGTCTGGAAGACACCTACAGCTAGGGATCTCCAGGACTAGGGCTGCCTGGAGAGGAACAGGGCTGGAGGCAAGAGTCCAGGTCTCCCAGATGCCTGGGGGCTGCACTGGGGCAGCAGCAGTGGGGAGCTATGGAGGGTTTGAGGAAGAGAGGTACACTATCAGATGTGTCGTGGTATGAGAACAGTTGGGAAGCAGGGAGCCTGGTTGGAGAGGGTAGGCTGTGTGAGTCTGCCTGGAGGCTGGGACTGGACTGGTCCAGTGAGAATAGGATCAGGAGATCTTAGAGACAGGCATAGGCAAATGGGCAGCAGGCCACCAGGCTGTCCTCTTTTTTTAAGTTTATTTTTTAATATTATTTGCACGCCCATGTGGGCCTCTGATTGGGGCGTGAAGGGCCAAGCTATCGAGGAAAATGGGTGTGACGTATATTTCCATTTATTTTTCCTCCTGTGTGCACAGGGAAGGAGGGAGAGAGGGCCACTCCTCGCTGTCAAACAGCCAGGTCAAACAGCTGCTGTCAGCAGCCAGGAATGGGGGACACCTTCGAGACCCCAGTGTAGGGAAGAATGTTGCGAGAGTGTTACTGAAGTGGTTTTGATGGTTCTGAGACATCATTGGCTTCATTGCTCCAGTGTTGAGAAAATCTTTCCAAGGTCTATTGGCTGATAAAGTCCACTTTAGTGCATCCATAGACCCTTGGATGTGCTGCAAAGCTTGGTCAAGGGAATTGTCCAAGCTGTTCTGCTTTCCATCCTCTGACCAAGCAGTAGACATCCCTTGCTGGCCTGGATAAGCTGGCTGGTCATGTTCCCCATGTGCATTTGGGCAAGCTGTCCACTGCATAAGCATCAGCAACTGAGGAGGCCCACAAGGTCGGATTACACATCCTGTGATTTTCCCTATGGCCATGGTTTGAGTCCAGGTGACCTCAGACTTGATTCTCATGGCAGCCAGTGCAGGGTCAGGTTCATTCTATCACCTGCACCAGCCAGTGCACATAATGATGAATGTAGCTGCCTGTTCAGTTCTGCCCCTGCCCCATTGCTCATGTGAACTGATGGGTAATATGGCCTAACCCAGCCAGCCCACCACAGGCCTGGTCTTCATGTACACTAGCAGGTGCCAAGCAGGCCACCCTCTGATTTGAAACAGACAGGGGCTATGGGAGGGGTGGGCAGCTCGAGTCCCTCAGCAGCTCTCTACCACCTGCCACTCCTGGAAGCATGTGGTGCATGCCCATTGTTGAGCTGAGAGTAGGCGTGGCTGCGGGTCTACGAAAGTGAGGCATGCCCCTTGCCAGGCTTGCACTGCTCTGTGCAGGCCGGCTCTTGCCAGCTTTGTCTCGATTTCCACCTTACAGATGAGAAAACCAAGGCTCAGGGAGGCCATAGGGCTCACCTGAAATCGCCCAGGCAACAGAAGCACCTGCTATGGGACTGGGTGTCAGAGCCAGCTCTGTGACTGTGACTGGCGCACTCACCATGATTCATCTGGTGCTGCTCTGGGCAGAAATGCACTTAATACTCAGGAGGCTGGGGAGGCCACAAAACACCAGAGTGGCAGCATTCACTCCTTCCCAGGGCATTCCACCTGTCAGCACTAGTGCCTTGGGCAGTTGATCTGCAGCACAGGACCTTGGAGCAGTGGACACAACCAGACCACAACCCCAGCACCGTGTCCAGTGGAAAAGGCTGTGCTTCTCCCTGCTCTGAGCTGGGAGGAAGAGGAGGCTGGAGGGAGAGATTTGGGTCAGGTGTCTGCATGCCACGTCTCCAGGTCTCATCCCGCGTCGGCTAGAACCCTGCTCAGTCCCACCACCTCCCACTCAGATGAAGAGGTGTAGAATTGTGTAGCACAGGGTACTCAGGAATGGCCCAACTGCAACTCTGACTCAGGGGGCAAGGGCTGCGACAGGGTGTAGGGGAGGCAGGCAACAACAGGGTGTAGACAGGCAGACCCTCAGGGAGAAGAGAAATTTCTGGGGGCTGAGGTAAGGGGAGGCCAGTGGGTGACAGACTAGGCCGAGGGGGTGCCCCTGGGTTCCCTCTCCCCACTTAGAACCTGAGAAAGTCTGCTCCAAGCCTAGCACATGTCTCTGAGGATGATCCTGGTGGCTGGGTTGGGGGTGCTCTGGTGTTTTGCTGGCAGCTGGGTGAGGCTCCAGGGGTGCCCTCCTTTCCTTTCCCAGCTGTGTGGTCTGTCAGGGTCTGACTTCCCTCCTGCAGCCTGCAGGTTCAGGGGCAGCCGGAAGTATATACGTAGAGGCATGGGGAGTGCTACGGGGAGGCAGGAAGAGGTAGCAGCAGACCCTGACAGGTGCCTTGTATCCCAGGCGAAGGATGCGGGGGGCTCCATGACCATCCACATGTTCGGCGCCTACTTTGGGCTCGTGGTGACGTGGATTCTCTACCGGCCCAACCTAGACCAGTGCAAGGAGCGGCAGCGTCCTGTGTACCACTCGAACCTCTTTGCCATGATTGGTGAGAGCCACCATGGTGGGCAAGCAGGGTCACCATAGTGGGTGAAAACGGCCATGATCACACTCACTCTCCAGGGGTTTCCACCAGTCACTGTTTTGGGGACACAAAGGGAAGTTGCCGCTAGACACTCGAAGGAGCCCAGATGTCTGCTAGGTTCCCCCTGAGCCCCGGAAACTGACTGCCTTGGTGCACATGGCAGAAACACGAAACTAGCTGCCTGTGTCCATTCACTCTGGAAAACACACACTGCCTCACAGGGACTCATGGAACCCCGCCCAGCCCTCCACAAGCCCCTTGGTGCTTTGTGAGTAAATGGTGCTTGTACCATCCTACGATGGCCCGAGTGGTGCTGAGGGAGCCTACTCAGGGGTTCAGTGGTAGTGAGATATGTGGGGGGCCTTCCAAGGAGAACCCCAACTCGAACAGGAGCAGACGTAGAAGCAGCCGGGGTGTGGGTCCCCTTGAAGCCTGGAGCTACAGACAGGACTGCCCTCATTCCCCTTCTGGGGCTCCTGGCCCCATTGGTCTGCCTCAGGCACCCTCTTCCTGTGGATATACTGGCCCAGCTTCAACTCCGCCATGTCCTTCCGTGGCGATGCCCAGCACCGGGCAGCCATCAACACCTGTTGCTCCTTGGCAGCCAGCGTGCTCACCTCAGTGGCAGTGTCCAGCATGGTTCACAAGAAGGGCAAGCTGGACATGGTAAGCAGTGGGGACCGGGGGCATCTAACCATCAGTGTTTAAACGACACCCATGACCATGCCACTCCACAAGGCCGGCAGCCTCAGGATCCAGCTTGCAAAGAAAACAAACAAAAACCAACCAACCAACCAAACAAACAAACAAAACTGAGGTTCTGGGAGGAATGATTTGTCCAGAGCAAAAAGCCAGATTACTGGAGTCTTCTCTCCCTACCCTGTGGGCTGCCCCTCTGCCAAGCACTCTCGCAGACCAGGGTGTAAGACAGAGGCCTGGATCCAAATGCCTGTTTGTCCCTGGCCAGCTCTGTGGTCACAGAGGAGTCATTTCAACTCCCTTTCCCTCGATTTACTCATGTGCCATTGTTGTGAGCAGCAAGACACCTGCTGCGAGTTGGCACTCAGCATCAGCCGCCGGTGCCCGGGGACGTGGAGGGTCCTGTTGTGGATGTGCAGGCAGGCAGCAAGTGTGCACACAGCAGAGTTCCCCAGCATGCACACAGAAAATGCCCAGAGCTGCTGGCTGAGGTGGGTGGTGTGAATGCAGAGAACACCATGACAGAGGTGGTGGTGCCACACCACAGCCACAGCCTTAGCTGGACAGTTTCCCAGGGTGCAGGCAGCCCCGCAGAGCCTTTGGACAGCCCACAAACTCTGCGCAGTCTCAGGGGGAAGCACTGAGCCTCTGCCCCCCACCCCTGCCCTCCTCACACAGGTGCACATTCAGAACGCCACGCTGGCCGGCGGAGTGGGTGTGGGCACCGCTGCGGAGATGATGCTGTTCCCCTATGGCGCCCTCGTCCTTGGCTTCATCTGCGGAGGCGCCTCCACCCTGGGCTTTGTGTATCTGACGGTGAGGTCCCTGGGCAAGAGCCGGGGGCTAGAGAATGCTGGAGTCTCCATGGTGGAGAGTGCGGGGGTGGGGGGCGGCTCTAGATCTGTCACCCTACCCCCAGTCCTCACCAGCCTGAGCAGCACTCATCTCTCCTCCCCAGCCATTCCTGGAGTCCCGGCTGCAGCTCCAGGATACATGTGGCATCCACAACCTGCATGGCCTTCCGGGCCTCATCGGTGGCATCACGGGTGCTGTGGCCGCAGCCGTCGTCACCCCTGACATCTATGGAAGTCAAGGGTAAACCTGAACAGTGCTGGGCATGGGGACTGCCACATCCTCCTCCTCCCCCCTTCCTACTGCTCTGCCAGAGCCCAAGAGCCTGTCTGTCTCCCACCCGAGACCCTCCCCTGTCCTTCCGCTCAACATGCGTCGCCCCCATTGTGCAGAGTAGAAGGCTGAGGCTGAGATTTGCACCGTCCCAGTACCCATGCATACCTGGCCTCTAACTTGACCCTACCTCATCTCTGCCCCAGGCTGGAACATTCCTCTGACTTTCATCAGTACCAGGATGAATGGACCACAAGAGAACAAGGCAGGTATCAGGCTTATGGCCTCCTGCTGACCTTGGGCATGGCCCTAGTGGGCGGCCTCATCATGGGTGAGTAAGTGGCTGGGCCACATCAGATGGGGTGCGGGGAGCCCCCCGGGCTGGGGGGCCAAAGAGCACACAGGGGATGTGGGTCTGGGCTCGTGGGAGGTGCTTGGTGTTGCATGGCCGTGGGGGCCCCAAGGAGGTTTGGATCTGAGCCAATTCATCTCTGGGGGAGGTGATGGACTCGGGTGACCTCCAGTGTCTCTTAGGGTTCATTTTGAAATTACCGATCTGGGGACAAGCTGCGGATGAGAACTGCTTTGACGATTCCGTCTACTGGGAAGTAAGTTCTGGGGTCTCTGTCCCGCCCCCTGCTTGAGGGCAACTGAACTCCCCCTCTACTGCCCTAGGTGAGCTGGGGGTAGGGGACGCAATCAGACAGGCTCCTGGGAATTGCAGGCCTCTCCCTCCCTACCCTCTGGAGCCCAGGACTCACAGACGGTGTTGTGTAACCCCTTCAGCATACCTGGGGGGAGGGGTGGTAAGAACACACCAAAGGCTGTCACGGGTCTCATTCCCAAAAGAAGGCCTCCACAGCTGTCCTCTAGTGCAATGACTTCTCAAGCTGTGATCCTAGCAGCACCAATCATCAACCAAGGAATGGACTAGAAAGAAATGCCCATACCTCAATCTCACCCAGATCCGGATCCAAAGCTCAGGGCATGGGGCTCGGTGCTCCATTTAATAGCTCTGGTGGCAAACGTGTCAGAGGCCCACTGCAGTGGACCACAGGGGCCCTGGCCCACACAGGCTCAGGTGTGATTGCCCAGGGGTAGGCCTGGACAGACGCTATGTATAAAGGTTTCTAGGAGGTTCTGCTATCCAGCCTGCTGTAAGAATTTCAACCCAGTGCTCAATTTCTGTCTCCACAGGCATCATCTGGCGGTGGCGGGGGGCGGAGGGGAGGAGGCTGGGCATTTGGCACAGTGGATTATGCTTAGAACACCTGTGCCCCAGGTCAAGGTACCTGAATTGAAGTCCCAGCGCTGCTCCCAACTCCTGTTTCTTGCTAATGTGCACCCTGGGAGACAGCAGGCAATGGTCAAGTAGTTGATCACCCATGTGGGAGAGCTGAACTGAGTTCCCAGCATCGGGCCTTGGCCCGTCCAGGAGCCCTGGCGGTTGGTAGACATTGGTGCTAGAGAGTGAACCAGTGAGCCAGGGAACAAACAAGCCTGGAGACTCTGAGAGTTCTTCCCAGGCCCCCAGTCCCAGGCCCCAGCTGAGCAGGCTCCCAGGCAGCTTCTCGTTTCAGCATTGCCAAAACATGTCTCTTCACATGTTTCGGGAGCTGGAGGCAGTGCAGTGCCACGGAGCTCACGTCCTGTCTCTCTGAAAGTGGGCAATATGACTAGAAATTTATTGAAGCAACTTGAAAACCAAGAAAAAGAAATCCCATCACCCTCACCCAAGCACTCATATTTCTGGGTGTTTCTTTTTGCCTCCGTGTAGTTCTCATTTCTCACACAGCCAGTTTAGTGTCAGCTCCTCTTCACCTCTGACTACCCTAGGAATCATTGATCACTTTTTTGTGCTATTTCGTTCTTACAGAACTCGCTTTTTTTTTTTTAACAGCAGTGTTTGCATTCCTGCAAAGTCAGACGTGAGACTGTTTTAGACACGGAGCAGAGTGTGATCAGCTTCCATGCTCAGAGGTTTCCTTTTGGTTCTGTATCTCTGCAGTTTGTTCCAAGTTCTCTCTTCTCTCGGTGATAACGCCTTTGGCAGCACCTGGCTGGAGAAATGAAGGTCCAGGCCAGAGCACGCGCACACACAAAGGCAGTCCTCCGAGCAGCCGCCTCTCACCAGGAGTATTCCCCTCTCCGCTTTCCAAGCAGGCCCAGCCTAACCTCCCAGAATCCTCCTGTGTGCGTGGACGACAGCTCCATGTCACTGCATGTTTCACGTGGATACTTGGTCACTGTTCTCACGGGGCAGGGTTCCTGTGTTTAAAGACAGGAGGACTGGTTCTGCTCTAGGACTGGTTCTGCACGCAGTCTGCACGGTGACCGCTAGGTGGTGCTCCCCACACGCCATCTGCAGCTCCCGGTTGGCTCTGGCAGCGGCCGGCCCGGGTAAGGCCCTCAGAGCATCTTTCTCTCTCTGCAGATGCATGAAGAGAGCACGGACTCCAGTAGTCCCGAGGAGGGCAGCCCCCAACCCACGGCACCCACAGCAATACCTGGACCTTCAGCAACCTTGGCACCCTAAGGTCCCAGGGTAGGGGAGCAGCAGGTGAGCATGGGTTTGCTTGGGTCAGAATTGGATGTCAGCGGCAAAGTGATGAAAAGCCAGCATACAGCATTCAGAGCAGAGGTGGAGTGGGTAGGTTGTGACGGGCAGGAGAGGGCCTCGAAGGTAGACTGGCCAGGTGCAGGCATGTGGAGGAGGCAGGCTGACAACGAGGGCGCGTTTAAAGTTTAATGAAAAGATGTTTAATTTGAAGAAGAAAAAAAGGCAATCCATGCATACATGGGGTCCTTGGAAATCATGCATGGATTTCTGTCATTTTTTCCACAATACAAAGCTGCCCTCTAATTCCACCTGCCCAGGATCTTTTGTTAAGTGTCCCTCTATCTGGGCACCCCTGGCTTTGCAATTTGGACCATCTCTTGATGCCAGAGACTGGACCACAGTTTCTCCCTCTTATGCAGGTGGAGCTGGAAGATCTGATTCTCCTCGGACCCCCGCCCCCTCCCGCCCTTTCCCAGAACTGTCATCTGCCTGCCCCTAGGGCACAGCAAGCCGGTGCTGGAAGCTCCAGCCAGCCCCTCTCAACCCTGCCCTCCGCCCTCCCTCGCAGAGCTCTGCACAGCAGGTGTAACCGTGCCCTTAGTAGCTAGAGGAGACAGGGTGCAGAGAGGCGCGCCCTCTTCAAGGGGAGGAAGGGAGATCTCTGCGAGTCATGGTCACTGACAGAGCCAGAAAACAGCTGTGTTGGGACAAGAACCTGGGCGCCAAGGCCTACGAGGTGTTGGCATTGCAAGAAGAGGAAAGAGAGGCTGCGGGCTTCCCACCCAGAAAGGCAAATAGCACACTGAGACCCCCCCCCCCCCAAGGCCCTGCAGTGACTGCTCTCGGCTTCTCCCTGCAGGTGGCACAGGCTGTCCCAGGCCCCACTGACCCCAGCTGGTAGCTCAAAAGCAAGTGGGCAGCAGCTGGGCCCCAAAGAGCCTTCACCCATCCCTGCTGGATGATCCCAGGGGGCATGCCTGAGCCCTGGAGACCCTCCCTGCCAAGTCCTCGCCACAGAAGGTTGGTCCCACATGGGTGGTGGCATCCGAGAACAGCAGGGGCCTGCCCCCCCCCCCGGGTCCTGCATTACATGTGTCTCGGAGGTGGCAGCCTCCGTGAATAAACAACCCTGTTTTCAAATGGGTGAGAGTGCTCTGCCAAGGCCAGCTGGAGGAAGGGAAGGCCCCTGGTCCAGGCACCGTCCACGCAGCAAGGGCAGGGTCCAGGCTGCTGGATCTGGCGTACTCCAGGCCCTCCCACCCCCTCATCCCCTGGACCCATGTCCTTCTGGAAAAGCATGGTTTCATCTCTGTGGATTCCCCTCCCCTAGCCCACCTCACCCACCATCACCCCAGACTGTGTGGAAAGAGCTACACCCAACACCTGCCCTCAGGGGGGTGCTCACAGCCTTGTGGGATAGGGGAGGGGAGAGGGGAGGAACCCCATCTCCAACATGCAGGACCCACCCAACTCCAACAGGTGCGGCTGCAGAGGCCACCTGGGCAGGGTTCTGGTCCTGGGTGGCAGGAATGAGCCCTGGGTGCGGAGGACGCGTGGCCGTCCAGCCTCGGGCCCCGCCCCCTGCCTGCTGGCCACGTCCTCTCGGGTCGCCACCCACTCGTGTCCCCGCCACGCAACACCCGGGGGAAAGACAAAAAAAAAAAAAAAAAAAAAAAAAACCTTTACAACCTGTCTCTGGAACTTGTCAGCAGCTGCCAAGAGGAGCGCGTTAATTAAATGTCGGCCAAGATGGAAGCCGGAGGCCGCGGCTCTAATTGGGCGGTTTGCTCCGCCAGATTGAAAAACATTGTGACAAAGGAGGAGGGGCGCGGCGGGGAGGGGCGGCCGCTTTGATGGCTCCCCAGCGAGGAGCTCTGCAGCGTCCCCCTCCCCGGGTTTGCAAGTGATGAAGCTAGCCGCCCTTGCCCTTCCACGGTTGGCTGCTGGGGAGCTCTGCCCTGGCCAGCCTTGCAAAGCCTGGAGTGACCGCCAGGCTGCTGGGGCCACCGGAGGCTGTGTGGCAGGTCTCCTCGTATCGACAGCGGCCAGGCAGCGGGCACCGACGGCCTGGGTGCCCTAAATGATTTGCACTCACTGCCACCCTAAAGGAGACGCCTTTGCATTCCTGTGTTGTGAGAGTGGCAACTGAGCAACTGGGAGCCCAATCTGAGTCATGATGCGGGGTCAGACTGAACCCAGACTCATGTTCCCCGATGTAGGCTCTTGATCCCAGGAGGTTTTAAAAAAGAATGGGATTCCTAAGCAAAGAACAACCCTTCTGGAAGCCTGGTGGCTGGGGCTCCCGGGAGGTAAGGTGGGGCTGCCACAGGCCGGGGAGCCCCAGGGGCAAAGGCCAAACCCTCACCTCCAGGCTTCCTGCTTTGAGCCCCATCCCACCCTGAGCCTGGGCTGCCATCCAGGGGGCTCCATGCGGAGCCAAGCTAGAACAAGCAGGAGCAAGTACGTGGACTGGGGCCACCATGACTCAGTCCTTGGGCTAAGCAGCTATAAACTGGGTGCAGAGGGCAGAGCCCTGGACGTTGGCCCAAGGAGTGGGTGGATAACCCATGCCCGACTAGGGCCAGGCTGCTGAGTGGACCTCATCTCCTGGGAGCCCCAGAATCAGGGCTGCTTCTGGTGCTAGATGTTGGGGTGACCACACCCAGTTGGATGATTGGAGCAGGTACGCACAGATACCCATGGTTTAGGTGTTGTCTCAGTGCCTGCCTCGTGTGTCTGAGGTTTGAGGCTTGAAGAATGAGGCCTATAGAAGGCAGCTGGGACAAACCAGAGGGCGGGAGGCCCGGGAGGAATGGCAGCCGTCCCCACCAGACCCACATGGGTGCCGTGAGAGTGTGTAAGTGTGTCTGCATGTGTGTGTCTCATGTCCATGCTTGTGTGTGTGCATACACCTGTGTGTGTACCTGTGCATGTGTCCGTGTGTATGCGCCTGTGTGTGTGTGTGTGCACGCACATTGATGGGGCCGGGTGCTTGAGAACAGCTCTTCAGAGGCGGCTGCAGGGGGGCGGGGGTGGGGAGGAGAGGGGACCCTCTGTAGATTGTAATCAGATTAAGGGGACCAATCACTTACGGCTCTTGAGAAGGCTACAGGCTTCTAATCAGCCCAGAGCAACCAGCCCACAAAGCCCCATTGGGGAGGGGGCTCAGCGGGATCCTCCTCTGGGGGGCCAGGCATGGGGCACTTTCTTCCCCTCTGCCTCTCATAATTATATCAATTTGCTGGCCAAATTGTTTGCTCCAGTGGTCAGGGGGGGCCTGTGCCCCATTCATGTGATAATGTGGGAACAAGCAGATCTGCAGCCTGGGAACATGGGACATACTGGCCCTGGGGTGTGGGGTGCCCCAGGCCTTGGGAGCCCTCCTCTCAACAGTGTGGGGCTGTGCCCTACAGATTCCAGAAACTTGCAGCGTGCTTTGTGCCCTGGATGTCCCTTCTGGCTGACTGGGATGAAGAGTGGGGAAGGCAGCAAGGAACCCCAGAGAAAGAGAGAGCTGGGTAGAGAGGTGGCCTCCAAGTCCCCTCAGGGGACAGCCATCTGTCCCCAGGTGGCACAGGCTGAGGCTTGAGCAGTTTAGAGGCATCGGGGACCTGGAAGGTGCCAGAGGGATGTTGACCCCGCTGGTATGAGCAGCGCCATGCCACACCCAGGGACACACAGCTCTTTCCAGCTGGCCTCCTGTAGGCACCTGCTACCCTTTGTACTGATGGCACCCAGGGAGACAGGCACCAAGCCTCGCGCCTCACAGATGTGGAAAAGCCACATGGCTGTCGGAGAGCAGCTCTGAGGGCCCTCCAGCACCCACAGCGTGTGGATTCCCCCCTGCTTCTGACCAGCCCACCAGTATGGGACAGTGAGGATGCGATCCTGTGGACCCAGTGCACTGGCACACACAGCAGCCACGCGCACGTTGGGCTGTGGGCCCACAAAAGGGTCAAGCCCCACCAGAACAGGGTTTATGGTCAGTCCAGTTCAGAATGCGCGCCAGCTGCATTCCTGTGCTTGTCTGGCTACCCTGAGGGGTCTCCTTTAGCACAGGAGGACCTTTCTCCTCTCCCCTGGGTGTGGCACCCTAGCACCTCTGTTTCTCAAATTCTGGAGCCCTTTCCTCCTTGACCACCCCTACTGGACCCACATGGCGTGTCAGTGTCACAAACATGCAGAGCTGTCACTTGTGGACGCTGCACGTCCCTGTGTTCCAGCCTCCAGTGCATCCTTACACAACATGACTCCATGCCAGGGCTGCTGGGAGCTGCCTTGTGGGCAGCCGGCAAGAGGCCCTGGCAGAAGCTCCTGGTCCTCACTCCAAACTGGGAGGAAAGGCCAGAGTCTGTGTTTCTTACCCTTTAGGACTCTGGCCAGAGATTCTTAGCAGTTCCCTTGGGCCCTCCACTGGCACGGTTCCTGGACATTCAGCTGTAGGGGACCCAGGCGCTGAAATCACAGGGCTCAGTGGCCCTTCCTGGTGTGTGTGTGTGTGTGGTGGGGGAGGTGACAGGACCAACATCATAGCAGAGTAACTGGCTACGACAGGTGAAGACTAAAGACTGAAAACAGCCAAACCCTGTGTCATTCCAGGCACCGTCCCTGTTAAAGTATAGCAGTCTGCCTGTGGACTTGAAGGAACGCCCAAGACAGTATCCACCCAGCTCTCCAGAGCTCTAGCTCAGTCCTGCAGCAGCCATGGGAATTATCCAGGAAAAGATTGGGGGTGGGAGGACCAACTTCCTAGAGGTGACGGAACACCCCACTCAGAAGAGTGGGCAAGAGGCTGAGAGCATAGCGGGGTCCTACCCCATGGGGCAAATTTGGATCCATTAAAGCAAACAGGAACTAGTCAAATAGGCTGGCCAGGGCCTGGCACTATGACATAGTGGGTTAAGCCTCCACCTGCGGCACCAGCATCCTATATGGGCACAGGTTTGACTCCTAGCTGATCCATTTCTAATCCAGCT